AGCCACCAAATGGAAGGGTGCCTCTTCCTCTCTCATGGTTTTGCATGAGATCACAAGTTATTCCTCAAATTCCTATGCTTCAAAATTAAGCTGATACAGGAACACTAAGCTAAATATTCTTTCTAGGCTTAATCACTCATTAGGAACCACAGAACAGCCTATAAAGAACAAATATACACAGACAAATGCAAGACCAGATCTCATCTCTCCCATCCCTCATTCCAGCCTTGCATTGATGTAGTGTAGTTTGCTTTCATCATGTTACACTCCATTTACTGTGATATCAACAGAAGTAGCTTCAGGTCCTGTATTTTAGCTCAGACTTAGGGATATGATCTTGTGCTTCCCTCCCAGCTTTCATGGGATTCAGCCCACCAGTCTAGCCAAGGAATGAAATCATCCCACAAAAGTGCAGCTAACAGAGTTCTTTCTGTGCATCTGGTTTTAATAGCTTACACAGAGGAAGGAGAATGTGCAGCTTGCTGGGAAAGGAATCACTGCCAGCTGAGAGGTCACTACAGCAAAACAGCAACATGGAGCTGCTGGGGGAACACAACCTTTGGAACACACGGACATGCCCACAGGGCTCTGCTGGGGCAACCACTTGTGCTTCCATTTCAGAGAAGGGAGAAGCAGGGCAGGAAAAAAAATAATATACAAGATCTGTCCAAATGTGCACTTGCCCGTGGCAGCATTCTGAGGTCAGCCATGGGTTGATGTCACTGCTGTGCACGAGCCAGCAGAGCTGCTTGTGACGCTTAATGAGCATCTTGCCCACCAAAACGTATGATGCTGAGAGCTGTTAGGACACAGGAGGGAGGCACCCAAAGCTGTGTGCAGGGAGAGCAATAGAAACAACTTAGTTGCACCTGCCAACCTGAATTTTCAACAGCAGGATGTGATTTATTTGGAAGAACAGGAAGGAATCATGCAGTTGCTCAGTACTGATGAAAATGTGTCTGATGGCCTTAAGTTTCTCCTGACAGGAGAGGCACATTCTGATGAAACCTTAAATCCAGGAAGAGAGAAACCAAACAACTTCAAACTTTGAAAACTTTGTTTTCAAATCAATTAATTCTAATTTCATAATACTAGCAAATATTTTCATAATTATAATTATGCTATGATATATATTATGTATATATTCATGGCAGGAAAAGCAAAGACTGGAACCTGCTGAAAAAGAAGGTAAAAAGCAGCACTAATAAGGTGGTTTTCTGCAAAAATAGAAACAAGCACATTTCCTAAAATACGTATCCTCTGCTCACTGAAAAACATAACACTCACTATTAATACATTTTCTGTATACTGCAAAGAGAAGATCAAAGCCACTTACACGTGTCTGTAATTTAATTACAGCACTGATCTGCAGCCACCCTAAGCAGTAGCAGCTCCAAGTCATCTTCACAGGAGGAGGGAAGCTCACAGTAACAGCATGCAAAGGTGGATCACTGACATTTTCTCCAGAACAGGTAGTTCAGCACTTCAAACCTCAGGAAGGCCACACAGCTAAAAGAGAAAGCTCTTTCTTTTCAAGGTGTACTTTCACACTTGGGAAAACATCAAGTAGTTTTACAAGGCCAGACTTTTTTTTCCATGCACCATATGTAAAACCCAAGATGAAGGGATGGATTTCAGTAGCCTCATTTTTTAGAGATAGAGATGGAATCTTTTCCCTAAAGAGACACCAGCTAGTGCCCATTCTAAAAACCAAATATTCTTGAATACAACTCCTTGTCCAAACTTGTGTGACAGCCCTGGGGACTCAATTAATTTACATGATGGTATTTGTGTAACTACTAGTCTTACATCACAGTAGTTGAAGTCTCCTATCTATGTACTTCTCAGGCTTTTGAAGGAACCACCCAATTCTCTTATACCTTAAATGGAAGTATCTTTCTATTTGATGTATCACTTTCTGCAGGACTACAGCCCGTAGGAACGCTCCTCTGACAACGAAATAGCAACGAAATCCATGGTGATGCTACAGGGTAACACTTTTGTGGAGAAACAGTGACATCCAGTGGGCATTACCTAACCTGAATAAGCAAAAAAGAGTTACAAGAACACACTTGTGAGAATTATTGTAGTTCACCCACTCTTTTCATCAAAATACTTAACAGAAACATATAACTTAAAACCTTTTAAAGTACTTACAAATAAAAATTAAAAATAGGGCTGTTTTTAACGATGATGCAGCGATGTTCCATAAATATAAACTTGGGCAGCCAAGGATCTCTGAAAGAAGCCACCACCCAATGCCTTTGGAGCTGCAACAAATCTGCGGGCACACTGTGGTCATCCCAACCTGCCTCTGCCTTAACCCTCACTTTACTGGAAATTAACTGAAACCATCAGAAAAACAAACAAAACCAAAAAAAAAACAACCAAAAGCCACTCACAAATATCAGGTTGCAGCAGGATTAAAAAATGTTACTAAAATCTGCTGTGTGGCAGCACTAGGACTGTTACATTTTAACAGCATTTAGACTCTGGCTAAAGCCCATTAAAGTGTTCTTTTAGTGATGAATAGGTGGCTCCAAGCAGATTAATTTGAGGTACCACCACTTAAAAAAAGCAGATGTTGTATCTTAACAACATCAACTATTCATACATTGCCCAGTTTCTGTCTTTTGGTCATAATTTCAGTGTAAACAATTTATGTTATCCAAATTCCCATTTACATATTCTTGTAATTTCCACACATTTCCCTAATTCACATTAATTGCAAAAGTTTTTCTTTATTAATGAAGAAATCCCTTGCAGTTTGTCTCTTCCAGCCAGTGACTGCCACCTCCCCAGCAGCTGGGGGATCAGGAGCCTGGACAACCCAGCTCCACAGCAGCCACAGCCCAGCAGTTCTCCCCCCCAATTTTACTCCTTGTACTTTGGCTTCATGAATGTCCCACTCTGTGCCACTGATAATAAGCCACTTGCAGATCTCCAGCACAAGCCCCACTTCAGGAAAACTTCCTATAGAGCTGGGGAAAACACCACACAGGGACATTGAGCTGCCCACCCTGAGCTGAGGCTGAGTGAGGCCTGAACAGCTCCCCAGCATCTCAGTATTCCCCTTTTTCCCCGTTATTACCTCAGGTGCAACACCAGCCTGACACAGACTCCACATATGGCTCCATTTAAGAACCATCCACACCCAGACCCACTGGCAGAAGCAATGGTTCAGCACCAGTTTGGGCTGGGTAAGGCAGGAGCAGGCCTGGCAATCTGGTACAAACCTCCCCCCCCAGCCAGCCACACACATCACCACCCCAGGGGTCCTCAATTCTTGGCAAGCTGACCAAACCCCAGACAGCTCTGCAGAGCCAGCTGCACCTGCCACCACCCCATGTTTGAGCAACACCACTGCTGTGGCTCCCTTCAGTAACTGACTCTGGAGAAAGGCAACCCACAAGTTACAGGTGTGTGCCTAAAGGCAGCTGCAGCCCCCACTGCCATGATCTGCAACTGCTGCCACACAGCACAGCTTCAGTATCAAGATAAAACCTTCCTGGAGTTATGACTCAGGAAAGGTAAAGCCAGTGGTTTTACCACAGAGCACATGATCAAGAAAAAAAAGTAACATGAATGTATACAGTGCTTGTCTCAGGAGCTCACACAGGACTGAGTGGGCAGCAGCCCCACACACCCTGTCAGGAGGGACAGAACCAGAGAAGGGCTGAGGTTGGAAGGGACCTCGAGTTCACCTTGCCCAGCCCCCCTGCCTAAGCAGGGCCACCCAGAGCCACATCAAGGTAGCTTTTTATTATCTCCTAGGAAGGTGAGTTTCTACAACCCCTCTGGGCAACCTGCCGAGGGGACTAGACCCAAGTGGCTCAACAGCAGGAAGCATAAAACTAAGGAAAGGCAAGAGCAGCAATTGCAGGAAACCTCAAATAACCAGAGGTAGCAGCAGCAGCTACTGCTGACAGAACTTTAGATTTCTGCTAACATGGCAGACAGGGAGGCAAGCCCTGCTGCTGAGGAAAAACCACCCAAAATCCAACCCCAAAACAAACCTCCCTTAGTTATAGGCACGATTGTGCACAGAAATGCTGTACCTGTACACACAGGTGCCAAGACTCCCATTTCAAGCTAAGCAGCTGTCAAAATTGACCAAATGGAACCACTGAGAGCCATAACAATTACAACCTGGCTAAATTTCTGTGCAAAGACCCATGGACAATTATAACCCCCTTGTAAAACACACCACTGCATAGCTGAATAAAGTCATTCTAACCTCCACTGTCTCCCAGCACTTGTTTGGGCTTGTTTCCTTTATTCACCTTGAAAAAACACCCTACTAGACCACCCAGATTTTGGTGGGAACTCCCCACCTTTTGTCATTAAGCAATCACATGAAACATTTTTACTTAAACCTTACCAGGAAGTCACAGACCCTTCCCAGACCCCTCCAGACCCTTCCCAGACCCCTCACAGGCCCTGCCCACACTGCACCAGGAGTAACTCACTAGTTAGTCCCTCCCAGCATTCCATTATCTTAGCCAAACACTCCACACCTGCAGTTTACCTGGAATAGACACTATGTTTTCCACTTAAAAAATAGAGAACTATTTGTTTGCTCACATAACCCCTCCCCATCCCCCCCCGAGCCATACTGAAGCTCTAATCACTTCTCAGTAGTGCCATGAAACAAATCTGTTCACACTACCTCTGGACCCCCCGAGTTAAAGTTTAACATGTCAAAGCCAAACCCACCCCACTGTACTGACGGTCATACCACCTTATTTGTTTGTAGTTTTCTAGGGCCTTTAGGAGACATTATCCTTCCTGGAAGGAAAGAGCTGTATTGAACTCTAAGAAAAAGAAAGAACATGGCATTAGTGCTTAAATTAAGACTTTAATCCAGATCCAATTAATCCACAAGGTCCTCATTATACATGCAAAGCAGCTTAAAACTGCCAAGAAACAAAGCTAAGGGAAGCATGTCACTTGACTATACCAGTTTTACTAGCTTGAACTGAGACAGACTACAAATCGTGATGTGCAACAGAAGACTTTATTAGCATTTCAACAGACAGTTGATCAGCAGTTGCTTAAGCTTGTATTAACTTCACGTTTAACTTATTAAGACATTAAAGAACTACAGTGCAAACACAAGTGCTGCTGGCAATCTTCTTGTCAAGCAAGATGCACAGTAGCTTAACAGCCACCCCTCAGGCGCAGCACAAGATGGAGGGTGGATTCCTTCTGGATGTTGTAGTCGGACAAGGTGCGCCCGTCTTCCAGCTGCTTGCCAGCGAAGATCAGCCTCTGCTGGTCGGGGGGAATGCCTTCCTTGTCCTGGATCTTGGCCTTCACATTCTCAATGGTGTCACTGGGCTCAACTTCAAGGGTGATAGTCTTGCCAGTCAGGGTCTTCACAAAGATCTGCATGCCACCCCTCAGGCGCAGCACAAGATGGAGGGTGGATTCCTTCTGGATGTTGTAGTCAGACAGAGTGCGCCCGTCTTCCAGCTGCTTGCCAGCGAAGATCAGCCTCTGCTGGTCAGGGGGAATGCCTTCCTTGTCTTGGATCTTGGCCTTCACGTTCTCGATGGTATCACTGGGTTCAACCTCGAGGGTGATGGTCTTGCCAGTCAGGGTCTTCACAAAGATCTGCATGCCACCCCTGAGACGGAGCACAAGATGGAGGGTGGATTCCTTCTGGATGTTGTAGTCAGACAGCGTGCGCCCGTCTTCCAGCTGCTTTCCAGCAAAGATCAGCCTCTGCTGGTCAGGGGGAATGCCTTCCTTGTCCTGGATCTTGGCTTTCACATTCTCGATGGTGTCACTGGGCTCAACCTCGAGAGTGATAGTTTTGCCAGTCAGGGTCTTCACAAAGATCTGCATGTTGAACTGCAAAACATACGGAAATTCCAGCTTTAACTACGTAACGAAGCACACACTTGAACATTTTCTCATTAAAACGTGCTATTATTTCACACTACCTAAGAAAACCACA